AAGCTCAAAAAAAATATACAGGTGATATAGAAAGCAAGTGAGGGTAGAGTTAGCACAATTAGCATTAGATAATTTCTATTTAAAAAAAAAAAATTATATGCGTTTAAATTTAACTTAAAAAGCCTCGGGCGTAGAGAGTGTAGATCTTGTAGAAATGATATTGTTAAAATCTCCATACGTACACTCATAAGTGTGAGTGTGACATTTGACAGATAGATACAAAACGTAACGTTATTGTTCTCTTACTTACCTGTCATACACTCACTATTCCGTTCATTTATTTTATTTATATTCTTAATCTCGCAATCTCATCGCAAAATTGCGTAAAAATGGCAAATACTATTAAGCCACTTTTTTGCAAAGAAAACTGCAGCTGAAAGTCATTGAATTGTGTTGCGAATGAAAAATGTTTCGATGTAAATCCAAGAAATACATAAACAAATAACTGAAATCAAATTCATACGGCATGTATTTTACTATTCACAAGAGCTTTGATGTCAATTGGTGAACATGCACCGTTTATGTTTGTTTGGCATTTTAAAGTAAACGTAAAAACCATATATATAAAATAACAATGTTCAAATACAGCATATTTCATATACGAATCAATAAATAATGGAACAGAAAGGAAAATGAATCGAAGAATGGATCAGGAATTGTAGAGTAATGGAATAGTAATTTTTAAGTAATTATGTGTCTGAACGTACTCAAATTTTACGAATACATGATGACATAAAACTAACTTCACACCAGAGTGCAAATTCAAAACAGTCAATGGATACTTCTTCAGTTGTGAAGATTTTTAGTTGTAACAAAAATGGACATGAAAGTTGAGTTTAAAAAACAATTAAACCAAATAGAGAAGCTAGACCATTTTGTTGTGCTCTATGGAAAGAAAGGAGAACTTTATCACGATTTACTGAAACTTAAAGATCAAACTCATGAAATAAAATGTGTTTTGTTCACGTGTCTAAGAGTTTTGAAAGAAATTCAAATTAAAAATCATAAAAAATTCAAAGCATTAATAGAAAATTCACAAAATCAACAAATATTGTTATTACAAGTGTTGGAAAAAATTATTTTCCCAACTAACAATGCAGATTTAACAAATGAAATAGAAGAAATAAATCTTTGCTCTTTGGCCGAAATTAGTAACACACCATGCAAGCTTCCAGTCTTCAAATCTACAGAACAACCAATAATGAAACTCGCTGACTACGTGAAGTCACCATATGCTACCAAATTGCGTCCTCCTTCAATTCAATTTTCTGATTTTGAAAAAAATATTTGTGTGGAAGAATTTATGAAAATTCCAGGGTATAACAAAACTTTTATACTTTTGAGCACAGACATTTCAAAAATAAACATAACAAAATAATAATATATCTAATAATAGTTATGATGGGAGAGTCTATTCACCTAACATGTGTTCGGAAAACATTTGCACTAAATTTAGGCGTTTTTTGCGCTACATAAACAAAAGATGCATGTGTCTAAAGATGAACCAATCTATCTTCGAACCATGTATCGTGTTTCATTAACTTGATATGAAAATGAGGATTCTAGAAAAAGCAAAAAGTACGGTCGGATCAAGCAAAAATCCATTTTTGGTGATTTTAATGGTTACAGCACATCCAAATTTGAACCAAAACAATAGATTCAGACACGAACATTAATAGAAAAAATTCCAAATAGTGTCAAAAATTGGCTGTTCATTTCGCCTCATAGCATGTTGCACTGAAAAATTCATCATTTTGGATAGTGAAACATTCATCGCTATATCGAACCATGAATGAAGTACGAATGGTTTCCTTTGCATTGATAAAGTTAGGGCACTACTACATAAGACTACGAAAAACCGAACTTTGATAAATGGGTGTTTGTATGGTACGATCTTCTTTGGAAGATGTTTTATAGCCATTATTCGAAAATTTAGTATTGAAACGTAAAGTTAAACCTCCATTACATGCTCCATTATCAACCAAGTATTGTTGAAATCGATAGAATCCGTTGAGAAATATCTGATTAAATACAAAAATGTGTTTTTCAAGCAGAAAAAACCACAATAATGGCTCACTTCTTAAAAAATGGCATTTCCATGAAAAAAGGACCATTTTTTTAAATTCACAAAAAACACCAAATTATTTATTTCTCGTCTGTTTTTGGATGTATGTTATAGGCGAAGGCCCAAAATACTCGAAACGAGCAACAATTGGTTGGATAGATTGAGAGAAAGTTGAAAGAAATCGACAAATCGGTTCGCCAAAGCATGATTTTGAAGGTTCGACGCATACTGAGAAAAATCGAAGACAATGCCCGTTCAGTATAAAGTGAATGTGCTATTCGATAGATTATGAATAACGGTTTATACCAATAGAAACGAATTTAATATTGTGTGTTTGTTGTTAAAATGGTGAACGTCTGAATTTAGTGTAAATGTTTTCCGAACACATGTTATGGCTGAATATTAGCTAAATAAAAACATAATCTTCCATATATTAAAGAGATATTGAGTAAACTTATTTTTTATAGATACATGCGGGGTCGAGAAATCTTGGAAGAAATACAACAATTTTCTGATTCAGTTATAATCAAATCCTTTACAATAAAATATGCACTGATTTCAAAGCGAAAAGAGGCTGTTACCTCAACAGAAATGGATTTATATAATTTATACAAATCGCAAGAAGAATATTTCAGAGGTAACATTGAAATTCACACATATATTTGAGTCGTTGAACAGCGAACGTGAATACAAAATAAAAAATTTATTGCTTACTTTTATTTCGATGTTATTAGGTTCTAAATTTATAACTCAAGGCGATATTTGTCGATTGACTGACAAACAAATGGATAAAAAAACTATGAATAGAATTTGCATTTTGAGACATTTGAAGGTTATCCGAGAAGAAAGAAAAAATGCAGCAATTTGTTATATATGGTGCAAAAATTGAATACTTTATTGCATAATTTTAAAAAATTTTATCACTATAAAAACTAACAATTATTTTTTTTGAGAATCAAATGGGTTAGACCGGATATGTAGCGAAAATAATTCTATTAATTTTATACTAATTTAAAAAATATACTAACTATAAGAAGGTTGACTTATTTGAAAAGACTAGAAATCACGGTCCAAAACGGATACATAGTAAGGTAATAAATAATTCCGAACGAAATGTTCAGAATATAGAACAAATTATATAAACATCTATTGTCATACATTCCGAACATTTCTTTGAGATTCATATATCAATCCCATATCTATAAATAAAAAAATGGTATGTTTCAATTTAAAGAGCATAAATTTCTGTTTGAAATTGTAGCATCGATTGATATTGACACTTCCCGAAGCAAAAAACTCTTTAAAGCAAAAATTGTCTAATGTCTTAATATTGAATTAGTATTATTGATGTAAACCGAGCCTTATGACATTTGAGGTTCATTTCATTGGTTTTCGAAATGTCATAAGCGCCGCTTTATATGAATGAACCGAGAACACGTTTGGCGTTGTAAATACCAAGTCAACAAATCAATCTTATATTTTATTACGATATAAACTACAGCTGTGTATGTTTCAATTCAATGTTTCAATTATTCTACGATTTTGCTGATAATTCATATTATTTTCGATATACATGTGTTTTGTATCGATTTGATCCGAATTTTTCAACACTTGATCAATCGATTGATCCGGAGTTCAGACAGATTGTTGAAATCGAATCACCAGTGTGAGTAAACTTAATCATTTTAATACCGTGAAAAATATTGGTTAATTCATCAATAAAAACTATTATTTTTAATGAGAAATCAAAAATTAAATTACGTGCTTATTCCAAGCAGTTATTCCTGTTCTTCTTATTGTGAAATTCATTTTTATTTCAAAGCACGTAATATTAGCCATATATTTAAGTTGTCTAATAATTATTTAACGTTGAACATATCATTAACAGTAACAGTAACAGTAATGAATTTCACATTTATTCTGCAGTGCATAATTCTGTTGCGTGAAGTGGTGAAATTCATTTCAAGCGGTGATACCTATTTTGAGTTGGTTCCATTGTTCAGAGAAGAGAAACAGTTAATAGCTTATTGTTTGAGCTCAATTTGAATCTGAATACTCAATAGTATCCATTACATTGTTTTCTTCTCTAAATCACTGCCATTGTTATCAATCCGAAGATTTTTGTCTTTTTGTGTGTTGCATCATTTTGTGTGTGTACCAAAAAAGGAGATAGATTCTTGTTCTGTTGTCGCTCGAACAAATTGAATTTAAAACATGTGTATGCGTGTTTGCATATTTGTGCAGGACATTTATTCATTCGTAAATTTCAATCATAAATTCTCGATATTCTTCTGTCTCAGCCAGTATTCTACCGACATGATTCCGATCGGAACTATGGTTTTATGTGTGAAACAATGTGTTCGATTTTTTTACTGTGTTACTCAATGATTTCGATCATTGTTCCACACACAAAACAATTATTCCGATAAACAATAATTTCGATCGGATTAATGTCGTTAGAATACCAACACAGGTATCATTAATATGAAAAATCATTTAGTAAAAAATATCGATATGGATCAATGAAAATGTCTAAATATCGCCAATTCAATAGTATTCGTTTTTAAACTAAATCGAATGTGTGTTTTTTTTAAAAATAGGAAAATGGCGAATCTCTTCAAGCCATCCATACCAGCGAAGGGAGAAACGAAGGGTGAGATTACCGACGATGAAATGTGCGCTGAAGACAATCATTCGCCCACAATTCCAGCAATCATTAATGTGCAAAATAACTGACCTGATTTTGCAAGCCACTTCAATTTGCTTTTTGGGCTCATTGCTGTTCGAGTTGCAAAAGGCGTACGAACATAGGCATTGAGAATGATGATTTCGCATTCTTTGGTGAAAGTGGAAAAAAAGATCCAACTCTACTTTAACCAAGTGCAATGGCATAACAATCAGCCACCGAAACCGAAAAAGTCGAGCCACAAACCACAAGGAACAAAGCCACGAGGACCACGAGCAGAGCTGCCAAGTATCGATTGGCCCAACAACAAAGATTTCAGCAATGGCCCAAAGCACTTGGCCAATCAATACACAGACAACGTCGTCATCAATTCAACAACGCATCCTAACAAACACATCACCCAGTACTTGAAACTGAAAGTGTTCGAATTGAACACAGACAGATAAGAGGACGCAGACAAATTTTTGCCAAGTGACGTCAAAAGTGTTTTGAAACTGATTATCAAGCAAAAAGATATCAAAGTGCCAACTCACGATCCAATTAAACTCGAACGATGTGGCGTGCTGTATGAAATGGTGAACGACCTGAATGTGTTTCCAGAAGTCTCTCGCACAACATTGGTTTAAGGCCATGCCAATGTTCATATCTATGCAAAGAGAGATAGAAGAATACAATTCGATGTGGCCACATCAGCACCGACCCAAACGGAAGAAAAGAAAGCGCAAAAAGTCAAAAGGGACACTCAAGCGATATCTCAAGCGCAAACAAATGTTCGACGATCCAAAGTTTCGGCCATTCATACGGAATTTAGCAATGGTGCCGATGTGTGATTTTCGCCGAAAATACTTCAAAATCGACTGTTCAAGCATGAACCAGGTGTTGTCTTCGCAAAAATTGCTGCCGAAAGTAGAAATCGAGAATAAAAACGAAAAAACAAACATAGCAAATATTTTACCAAAGGATTTCAATCAGGCGCGTGATTATTGGTGGAATCAGTATTTCTACGTGCGGAAAATTCGGCGATTCGCGCGGAAAAAAGAAATTTGACTTTTCCATAAACACCGATGGAATCGCTACAGTACTCGGCCAAGAAGAAGACAAATAACAAAGAAATCGACCGTTCTCACATTGTTCAAATGATTATGGATGGCAAATTCAAAAATTTTGGAATACCACAGTAACACACAACATTGAAAGTGGCAAAGAAGTAAGTTTTGTATACATTTATGTTGTATTTGTTTCAATTGAAAATACATTGCGTAAGTGCCAAAATTCGATAACTATTAATTTTTTTATTTATTTTCAGATCAACTTTGTAATTTCGAGCAAGCAGTTCCACTGTCAGACAGGTCTAAATGTGCGAAATGCCAAAGCAAAGCATTGGACAAAGATTTCGTCCAAGAGGAGCGCCTAGACAGAGAAAACAGTGAAATTTACCCTGTGATGCCATCGCCAAAAGGGCCACAGTGGCTGAATTACATAATGCACCGAGTCAAGATGATGAAGCATGGGATCTGCGCTTACTCGACTGTCAAGTACACTTGACTCGCCTTGGACAAACACATCAAAAGCAGTAGTGTTGTCGACAATTGGGTGGAAAAGGTTTCCGATAAGCAACCGACTGAGTTCTTTTTTAGTGCTGATAGCGAAATACCACCTGACAGCCCAATAAGTATCAAAAAGCACGTGCGCTGTCCAGGGTTTCGTAAGACTTTGAGGTCAATAAAGAAGCGCCGAAATTGTGTCATAGTGCCTTTGGACGAATGGGGAACATCTCAAACAGACGCAAGATGTATGAAGCGATTCCAAAACCAGAACAAAGCCGCCAGATTCAAGAGATGCCGATGCAAACCCGACGCCAGAACATTGCTGTCACCAAAAATTGTGTCAAATTTGGGCAAGACCATACATACGCGAGAGGGGGAAAACTTTTCATACTTCTGGTTTGATTTTTTTGTGGCATGAAATTTCAAAAGAGGAGACATTTCTAGGGTTATCGCTCTATCGATTTGCATCGTTGATTTTTTCATCCGACCCCCCCAGGGGCAAATCACCATTTGCAAATATTCTGTATTTGCAAAAAATTTGCGTATTTCCGAAGATATTTGCAAGTTTTTTAATATTTGTACACATTTGCAAATATTTGCCCTGATTTACGACATTTGTATACACATGATTTACGACTTTGTGTACTTGACTGTGTAAATGCAGCTAATGAGAATATCTCATTTATAACGAAATTAAAAAAGAACTAATTAACTTCAAGTATAAAATATTTAGAATTTTAATATTATCAACTTTTTTTTATTTTTGTGTCCGAAATATTAAAATTATGCTGAAATAAATATAATATTTCTAACTTAACCTAACTTTCGCTTTGCAAATGTGAAAAAGCTTTAATTTGTGCGGCGAATTCACTACCGTCTCCACTAGACAGTTTAAAGTTATTACGTGCAACCACGTTCAACATTTGCAAAGCGAAAGTTAGGTTAAGTTAGTAATATTATATTTATTTCAGCATAATTTTAATATTTTGGACAACAAAGTGAAAAAAAAAGTTGATAATATTAAAATTCTAAATATTTTATACTTGAAGCGACTTGAAGTTAATTAGTTCAATTTTATTTAAGACATTTCCAACAAGCTATCTAGAAGGCGAACAATGCCGCATTTTCGATACATTTGTATATTTGCTTAATATTTGTTGAATTTGCGATACATTTGCTGCATTCATTGAAAGCACAGCATATTTATTCAAAAATGATGCATTTGTTTTCGTGATTTGCCCCTAGCGACCCCCCTTCCCCTATTTTGGGGGGCCTATGTTTATGTTTTTACCCCCAAAATATATACAGACTTCCATTTCAATATCAAGATGTAAAACACCACATGAACCTTCACCCCTACCTAGGGGACTTTTTAGTCCTCTATCGGTTGGCACTATCGGTTTTGACCCACTCTCGTACCCCTCCCCCCTAGCGGTGTGTTCTGGTTTGTAACTTCATACCCATATTTAAGGTCTTTGAAGTGGAAAAACACCTATGACCTTCACCCATACTCAGGGTATTTTTCAGTGCTCTATCGATTGACATCATTGGTTTTGACCCTCCTCACTTTCTGGGGCTACCTATTTTTCTTACCCCCGAATATTTATAGACTCCCATTTGAGTGTCACCCCCATGGGAAGTCTCCATACAAAATTTACGAAAATTTTAAAACATACCCCAGTATTTTTGAAATATAATTATATATATTTTGAATACCCCAGGAAAGCATTATTTCATTTTGAAAAGAGTTTCTTGCTTCGGGAAGTGTCAATATCAATCGATGTTTTACATTAATGCTACAATTTGAAACCGAATTTTATGTTTTTTAAATTGAAAGAAACCATTTTTTATTTACATGGGAAACACCCTACTGTATAGATTATCTTTAACTTTTTATATTCCCATATATGTTTTCTGAGACACATCATCGAATATTGAAGCCAGGCAAGAACGATCAATGTAATATTCATTCAATAGCTTGTTATGTTGGTGATTCAAGTGACGTTATGTTATTATCTGATGTACACAATGGTCTGCGTAAGAAAGAGAGCTTTATATTGTAAGTAGCTATAGTAAGTAGTAGTTTGTAAGTACCTGCATAAGCCAATACGAACTAATCCTACAGGTACTGACTTCATAATAGAAACTGCTTCATCTAAGCTGCAACCTTGAATATCGTGTTCACCCACAGAAATTATACGGTCACCAGGGAATATTAAATTATTTTTTTCTGCAGATCCACCTTAGAAAATAAAATAAAGAATACTAGCTGAAAAAAATGTATATATAATTTTAAGGTTATTTTGACAATGTGCAATAAAATCTTATAACTAATTTGAAATTAACATTTGAAAAACAGTCCACTTGTTTTCAAAATATGGCTTTAAAAAAAAGAGAAACAAAATTTAGTTTACAACCATAGATGGTGCAAAATGATGAGAAAAAGAGATCATTTAACCTCAACGAACCAACGGTTTGTATGAAAAGTGTCTCGAAAATTATTTGTATCGCAAAATTAATATCATATCCGGTTTTTTCGTGCCAAATACAGGAGGAGGAAATTTTTTGAAGCCTAGCATATAAAGAGAAAAGTTTTCAAATCATTCTTGTGCTGTAATTGAAGTATGAACTGTCAAAAGTATTTCCACAAATAACTGAGTTCATATCTGTCTACATATGTTTACTTCGGCATTGGGACAGTCATTTTGATATTTTTTGAAAAACTGAAAAATTCCAAAATCATGTTGAGATTAGGTATCTTACAAAAGATTGTATAGCATCAAACGATTTCAATCCCGTGTAGTTTATGGTGACCCTCCTCCATCGTATACCATAGTCAAACAATAAGAAAACCCTTCATAGTTGTGCAGAGACAAATCAATGACCATAGCGAAGAGAATGCATTATTGTGCAGTGGTGGCAAGGCATCAGTAGAAAGTCACCTCTAAACAGATGATTTCCAACATATAGTTCCATTTCTTGGATACAAATGGTACATTAATGATTGGCATGTCACTAAAAAATACTATGGTCTTGGGTCTGTACTACACTCAAGAGATGTATAGATTGCGTTATGTAGTAGAAGTAAAATATTGTTTTCTTCTGGGGAGAAAATTTGTCTCCGCATGACAGCTCGCAAGTGAATATTTGGACTAGCACTGTCACCACCTGAATCTCGATTCAAATTCACCATCTATTGCATTTATTGGGGCCGGCCTCTAGCTCAAATATGAAAAATGTCTCAATAGGAAAATGAGAACCTCGATTTTATAAAAATTTTAAAGGATTTCGAGGTGATGACCATTTGACTAACGTAGAAAACCATCTATAAGAGATATCAACCAAATTTTTTGTGGGAATACTGTTGACAGTACATACTTCAATTACAGCACAAGAATGATTTGAAAACACTTCTCTAATATGCTAAGCTTAAAAAAATTTCCTCCTCCTGTAAAACCCCAATACATTATTTTTGAGTGTTTAAGTATACATAAAGTATGACTTTTGGGGGAAAATCGAACTCTTTCTCATAGGTATTACACCAACCATGAAACTTTACCCTATCAACCAAAGTCACTCAAAATCTAAGATTTTGAATTAATTTTCTTGGTTGAAAGTTATCGTGTTAACAAATTTTTGCGTATGGCGTACAGGATACAGAGTACGCACATGCATTCGGACATCGAAAAAACGGCTGATTTATGTTCTCTGACCCCGACAACCCGCAGAAAACATGTTTTGGAGGGTCTTAATTTTTCGTCTGAATCCAATACTTTGCCTTACACACTAGATGTGGGCGGTTAAGTATTACAACATCTCTGTTGGGTTTTCCTATCCTCAGATCTTAATCACAAGTGACGCAATACGAACCACAATATTTATATGTGATTTGTATTTTTGCATCACTCTCTTGCAGGAACCACCATATTTAGATAGCGTCTGGATTAAAAAAATCCAAAAATTTCAAAGAAAATGTTAAATTTTTAGTTCTGTCCATTTTTGACCCAAACAACAAACAATTTTCCGAAAAGTTCGGGTAGATAATGATGAAAAAAATTGTTGGAATCGATCCAAAAATGCCCGTGATCTTATTACTCCAAAAAATCTTTCGAAAAAACTCGAAATTAAAGAAATGGTTTGTTTGTATGTCCTAATTTTTTTTCCGAGACATCTCCTAAATCGCCGGAAACTAATTTTAATCGAAAGTAAATTTATAAATTTCGTTGTTAAGTGCCTAAGGTGTAGATTCGAAAAATGTTCGGACGCCCTTTTTCAAATTTCCATCCAATAGTCTACTTTCTGAGCACACAAAAGGAGCGGCATGATTTATATATCGTTGGAAAGCTACGAACTTCAGCTATCCGGATTTGAATCTAGAATGCAAAAAATGTCAAAATTTACCGCTAGATGTGATTCTTTTTTCCAAAAATGACCATGATTTTTTTCACATTGACCAAAATTTAAAAAATTACATACATGAGTATAAACCAGCGATTCCCAAATGGTGGTCCGCGGCCCGCAGGGGGTTCGTGAAGCCTTAAGAAATGGGCCGCGAGCCTAATTTGAGTGTAATTACTTTTTCACGAATTAAACAGCTTTTTAAGTCTATGCGGGCTTAAAAAGCATCGCCCATAAAAAAAATTAAGTAAAAAAATGTGTTATTGAATATACATTCGAATTTTTGGTGGGCCGCAACCCAGTCTTTTTTCACAAATTGGACCGCGAGTCTTACCGAGTTGGGAACCACTGATATAAACATTTTTGGATTGTCTTTGGTTTTTTGTGTGATCTGGTGGACCCCAGGGGGGGAATTCACAATGGAATATTCACCCCTTATAACTCAAAGGGGCATACGTGTCTCTTCCCATGAAAGTTACGCATACCAATTTAGTTTCCACTGGCATATAATTTTGGTTGCCCTGAATGACCCAATTCGGAGGGCAAGGGTTCATTTTTATATTATTTTGACTCCCGCTCTCCGAATTCATCTTAGAATGCGTCTTTTTCTGCGCTGGTGTCGACTTTGGTGGGGCATAACACTGTACAATTGACATGTTCCGGGCTCGTGTTCGTATTCGTGCTGTGATAATGCGATCAGAGACGGGATTCCATTCAATGAGACTTCTTCTTACTACTTTTTTTGACATCATAACTGCAACGTCGCCTTCGTTCTTTGTTATGGGATTTTAATCCAGTCAAATGAAAATTAATATAATAATCACTCATGCTTCAAAAATGACACTGCGCGAATTGTAAACACAATTGTCTATTAGAATTAAGGTCAGTCTAGATAGCGATAATTGTCAAACAACATGTTTTACACGAGGCCGTCTACCGTGTAAGCATTTTCGATAACGCAATTGATTGACCGCAAAACTAAGTCATTTAGTTAGCGGAAGATTGCTTATGTATTTTCGATGATCAAAAGAAGCGAAATACATTTATCCGACGAATTTCTTCCATCATCGGCGCGAAGTCGATGCACCATGTGAAACATCGAGACATAACCAAAGATTTGGAGCGAAGTCCTCGCGGAAAACGAATTGCATGGATATTATTGGCCAATAAGAACAAATGAGCTCGATCGAAGGTATACTAGTGCAATAAGTCAAGTTTGAGGTCGATCGAATAGAAGCTAGGCTTTAGTTTGTAAGTACAATTGTTCTACATTTTGACGGAATTTAATTAAAACCCGGATCCCAATCATTTAAAGAAAAAAAGGACAACCGCGTGTGTTTTACATTCATTTTTTTTCTGGGCAACAACAACTTTATAAAAATTAGCGAGCTGCAAAGTAAGTCCGTTTCATCTTATCTGGTTTTCCAGAGTATATTAAGGTGTTGCCGTCAGTAGTGGTGTGATCTTCATGGCCTAACCTCTGATAACCCAATTATTTTCAATTTATAATTGAGCATCTGTTGTTCTAATTGCACTAACCGTGTGTCTTCGGTTAGGGTGCGTATATTCCATTGAGCAATGCGTGTCCGCTGTTTGGAAGCGATAGTCGTTGCCGGTTGTATGGGTTTATGATGGTGTATTCTTATCCTTTGGTTTCTAATCCAGTAATCGGTTGGTTTCAGTTAAACGGATGTTTGGCCTATTGTATCCTACATCTGTTCGCCGGGTTTGCCGTCTTTACGCGTTGGTTTTGAATTTCAGTGAATTCGGGAAAGGGAATTTTTGTGAAGAGAGTGGGGAATGGTGGGGTGAATATCCGTGATGGATTAAGGTGGGATTATTGGATTATTGGATTTGTGCAGGGAGTACACTGACCGCTCCAAATGTCGTTTGTGAACTTACACTTATTCCTTCGTCCGACACCGGGTTTCAGCCAGACTGTTTTACCCAATAGCTCCCCTAAAGTCCAAGAACCCTTCAATTTCTTTTCCAAAACATATCTTAATTAATTGTTATACAAAATTTGAGCACCCTTAGATGGCTAATTTTTAAGTTACACTGTCTACCCATATAACTCATTTGCGGAGTAATTTTATCGATGACGGGACTGTGCGGAGTTCAGCGGAGATAGCATGCAAATGCTGTGTGTAAGAGTGCAACAGCGTTCTTTGCTGTTCATAGATTTATTTTGTCCAATCGTACATCTTAGTAGCCGTACACACAGCTAAGTTACTAATAATCTGCGTAAGAATGATACACATAGAAGTGCTGTTACCCTCGTACACACAGAGTTTGTATGTCATCTCCGCCAAACTCCACACAGTCCCGCCACCGTCAAAATTACTCCGCAAATGAATTATATGGGTATTTTCATCATTCATTTTCTTTGACAATGACAAGGTTTGACGTAATGTATACCGTTGGAAAGGTCTCGATAGCTTGAATGGTGCCAATTGCAAATTTCAAATATCAAGTTAGTGTGGACAAATTAACCAAAAATAGCGTCGTTAACAAAAACAAAAATTCGATTCATCCTTAGTTCAATATTGTATTACTCTCAAACAACATTCAAAAATTTATATTTACGCAAATTAACTTGATATCATTATTTGAAATATTCAAGATAAATGAAAAAAAATTCAAGATCTTTTATGATTTTCTATTAGAAAAATTTTGATGGTTTCGTGTTCAGAGGATATTATCCCCATGAGTTTATATTTTTGAGAGTTATTTATTCATGATCATTTGTTTTTCTATTACTTTTCCGCACACACTTAGTGTGTAAAGTATTGGAATCGGTCGAAAAATTAACACCCATCAAAAATGTGTTTTCTGGGTGATTTTGGAACCAGGGAACATGAATCTAGCGTTTTTTTGATGTCCGAATGTATGTCCGTACCCTGCACCCTGAACGCTATACGCAAAAATTCGTTTACACGATAACTTTCAAACAAGAAAAGTAATTCAAAATCTGACTTCACAGGATGATTGGAGGTGCTGAGGAATAGAAACCTTTAGATTTTGAGCGACTTTCGTTGATAGAGTGACGTGTCATGTCTGGTGTGAGGCCCATGGGCACCCATGGGAAAAATTCAATTTTTTCTTCAAAAGTGATATTTAATGTATTCTTAAACTCTCAAAAATATGTATTGGGGAGTTTTTGGGTACGAGAAAACCGAATATGACGTTAGTTTTGCGATACAATCAACTTTCGGCACACTTTTCATACAAAAATTTCTAAAAAATTGGATTTTTGTATGGAAGCCATGCCTGTATGATATCGTAATGAGCTGAAAGTTTGCAAAGGTTATTTTAATCAGGAAAAGTTCATCTTACGGATGTAAGACATTTTATTGGTACCTGGTATAAGGCCTCTAACAACAATTAGAACGTTGACATTATCCAATGGGTCTTGATAATCAAGTACTGAGAATCCAAAACCTCGTTCTGTTTTTTCTATATCAATGAAAACGATTTCATTACTCCATAAAGCTAATCCGGACACCTGCTCCATAGATCTCGAGCGATTTTGATCCGTTATTGTATTCGTATTAGTACTTGATGTAAACAATGAACTTTCGGATTGGGCTTTAAAAAGACTTTGTAAAATCAAATGTCCACTCGGAACTATACTTCGGCTTTCAAAGGCTTCAAAATTTTGTGATGTATTGATTATTGATGGTGGATGTCCTCGAGCACATACAACTTTGACATTGTTTGGAAGTTCTTTCAAGATTTTGACAACTTCTGTGTGTACTAAATTTGTTAACTTATGCTCATTCACTTGTAGTAGCTCATCGCCGGGTCTTAGTTTTCCATCTATCGCAACTGGACTGTCATTCAAAATTGACCGAATAAAATGGTGAGGTCTCTTTTCAACACCGCCTTCCACTTCTACTGTCCCTTCAATGCTTATTCCAAGACCCGACAATTTATTGATTTCAGTAACAATTATTTCACTTTCTGGATATTCAATTTCCCACAAATCCCGTTTCTGATTTTTAGCGTCCGGTATCGGAGTTACTGACATGGAATCCTTATTTATTTCACAAATATTTATTTCATTTCCAAAAACATTTGAATCGAATGTAGTACACGATTCTTGTTCAATATCAATTTGAGAATCATCGCAATCCTCTGTTACGATTGAATCAGCATCTGATTTGGGTAGTACCTGAAATAAAAAAACTTCTTTATAGTAAGGTTTGAAAAAGTAGTTGTTTGACAGCTGAACAGTATACATGCAAATTTCATTGCGCTCGCATATTTATCGGCCAAACTTCAAAGTTTGTCAAAATGTTTGCTCAATAATTTGAAAAAGTGTTTTTCCGACAAGGGAAAATCAAAGTTTGAAGTGTTTTAGTGTTTTTTTTTCGTTTTTTTCGGAAAATTAAAATTTGTTGTTGACAACCACGGCATTTTGTGTACAATTTGGTCGAAAATTGAGGGAAAATCGAAGGACAGTACGCAGACATAATTTTCATCGGCGGAAAAACGAGAAATTTCCATTTCACTGCATTTCATCGGCTTTGGGGAAGGAACGTAACCTCATAGTTGAGGTTAGTATCAATCGCTTGACACTGTATCTCAGGGTTAGAATATTTTACTTCTGCAATTCTTCATACTGAGAGGAGACAGCGCCATCTAGCGAAAGTAGAACCAACTAAAAATCCTAATATACGCGTTTTGACGGTTTTTCTTGAATAAATTTCCCTTTTTGGTCTTTAATTTGATTATTACAATATAAATTAAGTTGAATTTTTCAAAATTTAAATCCGTTATGGATTTTATTCCTTCCAACACAAGCCTGAGTGAAAATACTTAATTTGGAAAATACATATTGTAAAATAAATTCTATTTTTCATTCTTCTGCCGAAATATTCATAATATTTTGGCATTTTCATCTCTATTTGCTTTGAATTGGGATACTAAGTTGAATATTTGTTTGAATATTTAGTGAAATTTCTGATTTTTCAACGATTATTTCTGCGATTTTTCCATCTTAATTAGATTTTCAATTGAATTAGTAGGTTTTGCTTGCAATAAATACTATTTTTTATAAATCTACCATAATATTTTAACTTATATATAAATCATAGCTGTCCACGAACGTTCATCTCAAGAATCTCTTCGCTATAGATAGAGTTCTAGAGGCACCATCTGAGAGACTCGCAAAGCTGTCCTATAACTTTGACAGAAAGTTTGAGGTGATAGTGACAGAAAATTTATATGAGTTCTTTCAGCGTAACACTTGGGCACATTCCTCATACTTTACTGATGGTTCAGTGAGGGATACGGGTAGTGGATGTGGTTTCTACTGCATGCGCGAGGGTACGACATTTTTAACTCCCCTGGGACTAACTACAACAGTCAAACAAGCGAAGATATCTGCAATTTATCACTGTGCTCGCAAAAATTCTGGAGGGTGGAATGGTGGGAAATGTGGCAATTTTAACTGATAGTCTGGGGGCCGTAAATGAACTCGGGGGTTTCACGTTGGGAAGCGGCCTTGTGACCTGCTACCTGCGCTTCAGGCAATTGATGAAACAAACCCTCTTCGAGTGGTCTGGGTCAAAGCACATTCAGATATAGGAGATAATGATTTGACAGACGAGGCGGCTAAAGCAGCTGCTCATTGCACAGTCATTGGGCCTGAACCAGTCTTACCACTGGAGTATTCACGAGTAAAGGGGGTCTTAAGTACGTGGCTTAAGACCCGTAGTACACAGAACTGGCAAAGTTCATTTACATGTGGACAGACGAACATTTTTGTCAAAAGTCCAAGCTCAGAACTCACAAGACAGCTTCTGAGGCTCAAAAAGGGTGACCTTAGAATTGCAGTGGATATTTTAACGGGGCATGCTAAGGGAAATTACCACTTGAGAAATCTCCGCCTGAGAGATGATCCAGACTGCAGACTATGTGGTAGAGAAGAGGAAACTTCGGTTCACCTCATTTTCAGATGTCCAGGGTTAAATGCTCTGAGGGGTAGTTTCAAAGGGGGTATCGAACAGTAGCATGCAGTGCCCAAAATCTTAAGAATAATCGAATTCTTCAAAAAGGCGTGTATAATGAACCCATGCCTTAATCAAATCTGTGGATAATGAACTACTTATTGGTGTGTTTTAGACACACAAACGTAAAATTAATATAAATATTCTCATTTTTTTTTTAAATATCTTTCAAATAAAATTTGTAAATTTAATAGGTATTCACTGTGAATGATCTACCGCTTTAGCGCAAGCAATCATCAGTTTCGAAGAACTACTCAGAGAAATTGAACAGTGTGAACATGAATGTGTTCATTGTATTCCTCCTATTTACACTGAAATTATTTCTTCCCAATGTGAATCGTCATTTTACACTTTGATTTTGCAAGTTCAGTGTAAAATGATTTTGCGTGTATAAACTATTTTTTAAAAATTATTAAACCTTTTTCATGTTTTCATTTTATTGTTAAATATCCAATGAAAGATTTAAAACTTAATTTGGTTTGATATTGATTCAATTTGTAGTGATTTTTTTGCTCTAGAAAAAAATTAGCATTGCAATGTAAAAAACTCAAACAAAATTCATCTCTCACGTTCATATTTGGGATAATTTGTATTATTTTTTCAATATTTAATCGATTTTGTACATTGAAAGAGACTAAACAACGATTAAAGTGTTTTTTATGCATGAAAATGTGCGACGGTTTATTTGAAAAACACACACTCTGCACAAGTAGTCATATAGTTTAGTGCAAATCATGCACTGATGTGGCTCTGTGGATACGTGTCGACTGTATCAAGCGAACGTTCTGTGTTCAATACTAAAAACATTTTTATTTTATTTTTTTCATTCCAATTTAAATTATTTTCATTTTATTTTCAATCATTTACACTTATTTTATATTTTCCTAATGAAACAAGAAGAAAAAAAATTCATTAATGCTATTTACCTTAAAAAATGGACATTCAAGTCTATTTGATTCACATAGTCTTGAATATTTAAATATAAAAATAAATAAACTAAAAAAATAGTTTTTTTCACGCAAAATCATTTTACACTGAACTTGCAAAATCAAAGTGTCAAATGACGATTCACACTGGGAAGAAAAGACTTCAGTGTAAATGGTAGGAATACAATGAACACATTCATGTTCACACTGTTCGATTTCTCTGAGTACGCGAGTGTGTCAAATCTTTATTTATTTTTAACTTTTCTTCACTATCTTGTTCTCTACATATGGATTTCCATACATTTTATATGGAGGTCCAGTAGATCCATACTATCCGATTGAAGTGAAATTTTCTTTTTTGTTGAATAACAGCTACCCGTTATGTTTATTAGCGCTACATGAAATGTAAATAAATGTTGATGTAAATGTTGTTGTAGGTGCTAATTAATATTGAAAACGGCTATCAAACTGACAGCATTCATTTGGACATCGCCAAAGCTCTTGATTCAGTAAGCATTAAATTATTAATTCAAAAGTAAGACATCATGGGTTTATAAAGCAATTGTTAAAATGATTCGAATCGTATTTGTCTGGACGTGGACAAATGGTCAAGTTAAAAGTTTCAAAATCAAAGAAAATTGACGTTACTTCTGGAACGGCCCAACGTTACTCCATTGTTCATCATGGGCAACATTGTTCATCATGTTTGTCATCGATTTACCGTTTGCTTTAAATGATCCATGCATTTTATCATTTGCTGATAATGCGAAACTGTCGAAATGCATCAGGTCATATAGTGATTGTGACGCATTACAAGAAAATTTGAATCAAGTAAAAAATAATAAATATGAATAAAAAATAGGCAACGAAATTATTGAGAGACCAAACGTAATCAAGGATCTAAGAGTGCTGCTTGATAAACATTGAATTTCAAATCACACATTGAATGCATTGTGGCTGGAGCAAAGTCACGCTTGGCTTGGATTAAAATATTTGGCAGAGAGTTTGTTGACATATGGATTAATAATAATAATTAATTAAGAATAATTGATTAAGATAATTAATTAAATAGTTAATTACTAATTTAATTGATTTGGAAGTAAAATTAACGAAATTAAAACTAAGAATTGAAAACTATTTAAAGCAAACAAGATAAAACCAGAATATTTGTAAATAGACAAGAACAACATTTGTAAAGCAATATGAACAAAAATTAATAATATATCTCAAAAATGCTTGATAAAATTTTTATGGATTATATTATAAGTGAAAAACACTTCTTTGAAAGTTCCCACTGTGACGTAATACTGCACATCAAATCTATAAATGATCTGATTTAAATTTTCAGTGACGCTTGCAATCAAATACACAAACAATTTTTATATTGCGTTGCCTCTTGGGCATTATCACAATGAAATTTTCATTTTTAATTTTCTAAGAATGAGAGAGGCAACGCAATACAAAAATGCTGGTGGTCAGCCAAATACACGTTTTTTCCAATTTTGACCAATTTTGAAAAAATTTGGTTTTAAAGAATGTGCACATTGGTTCAAAATTGGGTGCTCTTTCGATCTATGATAAAAAAAAAAATCGTTATTCACACATTTTTTTTAACAAAATTACGATTTTCATCGATTTTTCCCCATTTTACTTTTCCGCACACACCTAGTGTGAAAGGGGAAAGTATTGCAATGGGTCAAAATTTACGAAACCTCAAAAACATGTTTTCTGGACGTTTCTGAGGTCAGAGAACCCGAATCAGGCCGTTTTGAGCATGGTTGGTGTGGGTCTGTTCCACGTTGTCCGCCGTACGATGAGCGGTGCACAGACGTAGTTTTATGTCTTCTTCTTCTTCTCGACTACGCGTACATCACTTTTACTTATAGCGTTACTCCAAAGTAGCCCTGTTACTTACAGCGTTAAGTGAAATATCTATTCTTTGTAAATTCATGAAAATAGTATTTACAACACATTTATTGTATTTATATTGAAAATTATTTTTTATCAATTTTAGTTTATTATATTTATTACTTGTCTTTAAAATATGAACTCATTTAAATTTTCAATGAATCCATAATTGAATTTCAATGAACAGATGTGATTACTCCTAAATTGCACATAATACACTTTGTGTGAAAACAAAGTATCATTCAATTTCTAGGTTATGTATTACGTTGTGTTTTTCGGGTTACTCCTGAATTGCATTAATTTTTAATATTTATTGAATAATGCTT